AATTTGGGAAATTAGTTTAAGACCAGTATTAACTTAACAAGCACAAACCTCTACATTGATGTCCCAGGCGTCCGGTAAACCACTATTGGCAATGCACAAATGAAAACTGAAGTCTGTATATTGTGCATTGCAAGCATTTTGAATCACCAGTATGCGTCCCTAATGTCAGCTCGTTTATATCAAGCAAAAGCCAAATGGAGCAAGCGTTCCATCAAAATATAATGTAACAATCCTAAAAATGGCGACCTCGTAGATCCTATACTACAAAAACCACAGCTCATTTTAATTTTAATAAAAAAAGGTTTCTTAAATCTGCGTAGAATTTCAAATTCGCTTAAAACCGATTACTCTTAGAACAACTGTTAGAATGACATACCTATGCATGATGTCCCAGGTCCGGTATAACCAACATTGCAAGAGCAGAAGAATGAGCCTGCAGTATTTGTGCATGCAGCATTTGAATCACAGTTATGCGTCCCTAATGTACATTCGTCTATATCTAGAAGCAACAAAGAGGCATCTATCATAAATTAAAATGCAAATATCCTAAGCAATGCACAGTAGATTACACACAAATTATCTGTTCAGTTTTATTAAAAACGTCTCTAAAGTCTACGTAGAATTTGAAATTAGTTTAAGACCAATTAACCTTAAAACAGCACATACCTGTACATGATGTCCCAGGTTAAGACCAATTAACCTTAAAACAGCACATACCTGTACATGATGTCCCAGGTCCGGTATAACCACTATTGCAAGCACAAATGAACGAGTCTGTATTATTTGTGCATGCAGCATTTGAATCACAGTTATGCGTCCCTAATGTACACTCGTTTATATCTAGAAGCAACAAAGAGCACGTATCATCAATTATAATGCAACAATCCTAAAAATGGCACCGTAGATCATACAAAAACCATCAGCTCATTTTAATAAAAAAAGGTTTCTTAAATCTGCGTAGAATTTGAAATTCGCTTAAAACCGATTACTCTTAGAACAACTGTTAGAATGACATACCTATGCATGATGTCCCATGTCCGGTATAACCAACATTGCAAGAGCAGAAGAATGAGCCTGCAGTATTTGTGCATGCAGCATTTGAATCACAGTTATGCGTTCCTAATGTACATTCGTCTATATCTAGAAGCAACAAAGAGGCATCTATCATAAATTAAAATGCAAATATCATAAGGAAGGCAAAATAGATTACACACAAATTATCTGTTCAGTTTTATTAAAAACGTCTCCAAAATCTACGTAGATTTTGAAATTCTTTTAAGAACAATAAACCTTAAAACAGCACTTACCTGTACATGATGTCCCAGGTCCGGTATAACCAATATTACAAGCACAGGTGAATGAGCCTTTAGTATTTGTGCATGCAGCATTTGAATCACAGTTATGCGTCCCTAATGTACATTCGTCTATATCTAGAGGTAACAAAGAGGCATCTATCATAAATTAAAATGCAAATATCCTAAGCAATGCACAGTAGATTACACACAAATTATCTGTTCAGTTTTATTAAAAACGTCTTTAAAGTCTACGTAGAATTTTAAATTCGTTTAAGACCAATTAACTTTAAAACAGCACATACCTGTACATGATGTCCCAGTTCCGGTAAAACCACTATTGCAAGCACAAATGAACGAGCCTGTATTATTTATGCATACAGCATTGGAATCACAGTTATGCATTCCTGCGATGCATTGGGCTATATTCAAAAGCAACAAAAAGGTACGCATTAGCAATTGAAGAGCAATAATTTTGAATAAAAGGCACAGTAGAAGCGACACATCATTTCGGTTATTTTTAGTTAAAAACGTTTCTACAATCCAAATGTAATTTGAAATTCGTTTAAAACAAAATAAAAACAAAGCAACCATTAGAATGAAGTACCTGTACATGATGTCCCATTTCCGGTATAACCAACATTGCAAGAACACGTGAATGAGCCTGCAGTATTTGTGCATGTAGAATTTGAATCACAGTTATGCGTTCCTAATGTACATTCGTCTTGATCTAGAAGCAACAAAGAGATATGTATTAACAAATGGAAAGAAACAAGCCATAAAACCTACAGAAGAACAGCCACAAATTATCCGTTATCTTTAATAAAAAACAATTGGATAACTACGTAGAATTAAAAAATCTTTTTTGAAGCATCAACTTAAAAGCAACAGTCCGAATAACATACCTGTACATGATGTACCCGCTCCAGTATAACCAACATTACAAGCACAGGTGAATGAGCCTGCAGTATTTGTGCATGCAGCATTTGAATCACAGTTATGCGTTCCTAATGTACATTCGTTTATATCTAGAAGCCACAAAGAGACATGTATTATCAAATGGAAAGAAACAAGCCATAAAACCTACAGAAGAACAGCCACAAATTATCCGTTATCTTTAATAAAAAACAATTGGATAACTACGTAGAATTAAAAAATCTTTTTTGAAGCATCAACTTAAAAGCAACAGTCCGAATAACATACCTGTACATGATGTCCCATTTCTGGTATAACCAACATTGCAAGCACAGGTGAATGAGCCTGCAGTATTTGTACATGCAGCATTTGAATCACAGTTATGCATCCGACTGGCACATTCGTCTATATCTAGAAGCAACAAAAAGGCATGTATCATCAATTAAAACGCAATAATCTTAAGAATGGCATCGTAGATTACACACAAACTATCATCTCAGTTTAATCAACAACGTCTCTAAAATGTACGTGGAATTTGAAATTCGTTTAAGACCGATTAGCCTTGAAACAACCATTAGAATGACATACCATAGCAATATGTCCGAGCTCCGGTATAACCAACATTGCAAGCACAGGTGAATGAGCCTGCAGTATTTCTGCATGCAGCATTTAAATAACAGTTATGCGTCCCTAGTGCACATTCGTCTATATCTAGAGGCAACAAAGAGGCACCTATCATAAATTAAAATGCAAATATCCTAAGCAATGCACAGTAGATTACACACAAATTACCTGTTCAGTTTTATTAAAAACGTCTCCAAAATCTACGTAGAATTTGAAATTCGTTTAAGACCAATTAACTTTAAAACAGCACATACCTGTACATGATGTCCCAGTTCCGGTAAAACCACTATTGCAAGCACAAATGAACGAGCCTGTATTATTTATGCATACAGCATTGGAATCACAGTTATGCATTCCTGCGATGCATTGGGCTATATTCAAAAGCAACAAAAAGGTACGCATTAGCAATTGAAGAGCAATAATTTTGAATAAAGGGCACAGTAGAAGCGAGACATCATTTCAGTTATTTTTAGTTAAAAACGTTTCTACAATCCAAATGTAATTTTAAATTCGTTTAAAACAAAATAAAAACAAAGCAACCATTAGAATGAAGTACCTGTACATGATGTCCCATTTCCGGTATAACCAACATTGCAAGCACAGGTGAATGAGCCTGCAGTATTTGTACATGCAGCATTTGAATCACAGTTATGCATCCGATTGGCACATTCGTCTATATCTAGAAGCAACAAAAAGGCATGTATCATCAATTAAAATGCAATAATCTTAAGAATGGCATCGTAGATTACACACAAACTATCATCTCAGTTTAATCAACAACGTCTCTAAAATGTACGTGGAATTTGAAATTCGTTTAAGACCGATTAGCCTTGAAACAACCATTAGAATGACATACCATAGCAATATGTCCGAGCTCCGGTATAACCAACATTGCAAGCACAGGTGAATGAGCCTGCAGTATTTCTGCATGCAGCATTTAAATAACAGTTATGCGTCCCTAGTGCACATTCGTCTATATCTAGAGGCAACAAAGAGGCACCTATCATAAATTAAAATGCAAATATCCTAAGCAATGCACAGTAGATTACACACAAATTACCTGTTCAGTTTTATTAAAAACGTCTCCAAAATCTACGTAGAATTTGAAATTCGTTTAGGACCAATTAACTTTAAAACAGCACATACCTGTACATGATGTCCCAGTTCCGGTAAAACCACTATTGCAAGCACAAATGAACGAGCCTGTATTATTTATGCATACAGCATTGGAATCACAGTTATGCATTCCTGCGATGCATTGGGCTATATTCAAAAGCAACAAAAAGGTACGCATTAGCAATTGAAGAGCAATAATTTTGAATAAAGGGCACAGTAGAAGCGACACATCATTTCGGTTATTTTTAGTTAAAAACGTTTCTACAATCCAAATGTAATTTGAAATTCGTTTAAAACAAAATAAAAACAAAGCAACCATTAGAATGAAGTACCTGTACATGATGTCCCATTTCCGGTATAACCAACATTGCAAGCACAGGTGAATGAGCCTGCAGTATTTGTACATGCAGCATTTGAATCACAGTTATGCATCCGTCTGGCACATTCGTCTATATCTAGAAGCAACAAAAAGGCATGTATCATCAATTAAAATGCAATAATCTTAAGAATGGCATCGTAGATTACACACAAACTATCATCTCAGTTTAATCAACAACGTCTCTAAAATGTACGTGGAATTTGAAATTCGTTTAAGACCGATTAGCCTTGAAACAACCATTAGAATGACATACCATAGCAATATGTCCGAGCTCCGGTATAACCAACATTGCAAGCACAGGTGAATGAGCCTGCAGTATTTCTGCATGCAGCATTTAAATAACAGTTATGCGTCCCTAGTGCACATTCGTCTATATCTAGAGGCAACAAAGAGGCACCTATCATAAATTAAAATGCAAATATCCTAAGCAATGCACAGTAGATTACACACAAATTACCTGTTCAGTTTTATTAAAAACGTCTTTAAAGTCTACGTAGAATTTTAAATTCGTTTAAGAACCAATTAACTTTAAAACAGCACATACCTGTACATGATGTCCCAGGTCCGGTAAAACCACTATTGCAAGCACAAATGAACGAGCCTGTATTATTTATGCATACAGCATTGGAATCACAGTTATGCATTCCTGCGATGCACTGGGCTATATTCAAAAGCAACAAAAAGGTACGCATTAGCAATTGAAGAGCAATAATTTTGAATAAAAGGCACAGTAGAAGCGACACATCATTTCGGTTATTTTTAGTTAAAAACGTTTCTACAATCCAAATGTAATTTGAAATTCGTTTAAAACAAAATAAAAACAAAGCAACCATTAGAATGAAGTACCTGTACATGATGTCCCATTTCCGGTATAACCAACATTGCAAGCACAGGTGAATGAGCCTGCAGTATTTGTACATGCAGCATTTGAATCACAGTTATGCATCCGATTGGCACATTCGTCTATATCTAGAAGCAACAAAAAGGCATGTATCATCAATTAAAATGCAATAATCTTAAGAATGGCATCGTAGATTACACACAAACTATCATCTCAGTTTAATCAACAACGTCTCTAAAATGTACGTGGAATTTGAAATTCGTTTAAGACCGATTAGCCTTGAAACAACCATTAGAATGACATACCATAGCAATATGTCCCAGGTCCGGCATAACCAGTATTGCAAGCACAGGTGAATGAGCCTGCAGTATTTGTGCATGCAGCATTTGAATTACAGTAATGCGTCCCTAGTGCACATTCGTCTATATCTAGAGGCAACAAAGAGGCACCTATCATAAATTAAAATGCAAATATCCTAAGCAATGCACAGTAGATTACACACAAATTACCTGTTCAGTTTTATTAAAAACGTCTCTAAAGTCTACGTAGAATTTGAAATTCGTTTAAGACCAATTAACCTTAAAACTGCACATACCTGTACATGATGTCCCAGTTCCGGTAAAACCACTATTGCAAGCACAAATGAACGAGCCTGTATTATTTATGCATACAGCATTGGAATCACAGTTATGCATTCCTGCGATGCATTGGGCTATATTCAAAAGCAACAAAAAGGTACGCATTAGCAATTGAAAAGCAATAATTTTAAATAAAGGGCACAGTAGAAGCGATACATCATTTCGGTTATTTTTAGTTAAAAACGTTTCTACAATCCAAATGTAAATTGAAATTCGTTTAAAACAAAATAAAAACAAAGCAACCATTAGAATGAAGTACCTGTACATGATGTCCCATTTCCGGTATAACCAACATTGCAAGCACAGGTGAATGAGCCTGCAGTATTTGTACATGCAGCATTTGAATCACAGTTATGAATCCATGACGAACACTCGTTAAGATCTAGAAGCAGCAAAGCAATATTTTTTTATCTATTTTAAATCAACTAAATTTAAAAGAGAAAGATTGAAGCACAGAAAAAGAAGCTGCTCTGTATCAGTCAAAGTGACAGGGCCACCAAAAAGCATTGCAGCACAAAAATCATGACTCGGCATATTCTGGAATACCCTCTCCTTTAATCGCGATTCAGTGTAAACAGATATTAAATCTCTCTTAAACTATTATATTTAACAAGAATTATAACGGCAAAGCTTGTTATCATTAAGTTAAGATCATCTGTTAAAAGTTCAATTCCAAATTTTAGTCAAGAAAACAGTCCAAATCGAACCATAACCTTTCCTTTGTTCCAATGCAGACTCTATCTCCCTGTATTCATATATACTAAATGAATGACAATTTTTCATTTTTCTGGAAAAGATACCTGGTTACCACAGGTTATATTTTCTCAGTTACACACTCTGACCAGTGGCATGGTGGCCGGAGGGCCAGGGGAAACATGCTCATCCAGTGACTAGAAATCAGGGGGCGCCGAAGGCGATTCAACTCTTCAAGGGTCGCCAAAATTACGTGAAAAATAAATGTGAACGAAGAAAGCCACTTGAAATAGCCGAGCTCTGAAGAGGCGCATATTTCGATATGAGGATTTCTTTCTCTCGTCTCTTTCTTTATTCCTCCGCAGCCCTTGACGATCTGGGACCGAGGGTAGGGATGGCATCGCAACATCCCTTGGCAGCCCACTATAAGTTACCGAACATCCGTAAGCAACCCACTGACTTACTTGACCTCACTGAAGTTGGAAATGATACTTAAATGCTAAAGGAAATTTCAACGATCAGATTTTTCACAAAATGCTTCAACTTTACAAAGATACTTTGCCTTGTACTTTTAATAGAATTGTTCTTCGGTTGATATTCTTATGCTCATGTTTTGTTATTAAACGTGTTCCTAAAACTTTGCAATATCTTTACCGTCTTCATGTCGCGGTCTTTTCAAATGGAAACAGATAAGTATGGTACATAATGATAAAAATAAGCTAGTGAATATTTTCTTAAATCTCCATTAGGCCTAAAGCCATGAAATTTGTAGATTTTTCCAGTGCAGTTTCCGGTCATTCCTAGAAAGATAGAGTCTCAAATTTTCTTGCTTTTACTAAATCCTTTAAGATTTTGAAATTTTTGGCGTAATGATACAGAAATTTTTATGAACATTTCCATGAATCTTCCTGGTTCCTAAACCGGTGTTGTAAATATTTTAGATGGCTTTGTAGAGTTTCAAGAGCGTCGTCATATTTGTAAAATTTTTCTTGCCGTTAAACATGGTGGCGCCCTTCATTAAACCCATATACCATCTAAACTTTATGTCATTATGATAAAGAAAGTTTATGAATACTGCCTAGGATCTTTTTTCAATCCTAATCGATGTTGAAATGATTTTAGATGCAGTTTCCGGCAGTCCATATAATGTTATATTTTCAAAAAATTTTCTTCCCGCCAACTGTGGTGGCGGCCTTCGTGAGGCCCCTTAACAATGTTTACGTTGTGCCCCCTTATTATCAATCACATTTCACGCCCCTGGTGGAGTTGTACCATGGACTTAGCTTTAAAAGGCGCCGAAAAAGGTTGGTGCCTCTCTAGCCAATTTTGAGTCACCACGCCACTGACTTTGACCCAAAAAAAGTGGAGTCTCTAATGGCCATGCTTCCCAATTCGGCATTTTTTTGTGTTAGTAGCTCATAAATGACAAATGTTCCTTATTAGCATAACTTTTGCAAATGTAAAATAGAATTACTATTGTAAAAGGTATATATTTCTGTTTATATTAAAATCATTAGCCATTTCACTACATTAAAAAAGCTACGCTTTTCCAATTTTACCGAACAAAAGTCAATGCAACAAGTAAATTTAGATACAGCTCAATGTAAACAAACCATAGCAGGTAAATCCATTTCCTATATATCCTGCGCGGCAATTGCAAGCTCCAGAAATGCAAGTCCCTCCTTGAGAGCTGCAAGGAGGAGAGCAGCTTTGACCTGAGTGTACAGAACAAGAAAGCATATCCATGAAATAGAATGATAGAGGTATAGTTAAATTTCAAACAACTTACAAAAATTTGTCTGTTTTGAATTACTTAGTAGAAGCCGAAGCAATGATTTGAGAATCTTAGGTATAAATAGACTCTTTAGAAGTTGGTCCAAATCAGAAATGCAGGGCTAGGATGTTTGAACAGGGCCGCAAAATTGCACAGGAACAATTGCCAACAAACACAAATATGTAACTCTTTGCATTGACAAAAGCAGCCGGACTACTGCAAGAATCAATTAAAATTAAAAAAGCAATTGAGAATAATAGCCAGGCTGGAATATTGTCGACATTATTCAATCTGTGTTTTTTAAGCAAAAAAGACAAGCGTGACTTTTCCCAAGAAAGCTTTTCGTTCACATAACAAACTTGTACTTCGTTTGTATGTTTCTTTCTCAGTTCGTACAAAATCTCCATATTTTTATTCATAAGAATGATATAAAGAACAATTTTAGACTAATACCCTTAAAAAATATTGTTGCATGTTGACTTTTAAAATCAGCACAGTTCTTAGAAAATTGCCCTCGAATAGTATAAAAAACCTCAAGCAAGAAATGTGCAATCAACACCATTTTCTATTTATTGAAAATGTATCAGTATTAATCATAATAGTAAATTAATCATGCAAACCATTGACGGGATTTTCAAGAGAGAGGACCAAGATAACCAGCACATGAATAATAAGCTTCCTTGGATTTAGAAAATATACTTCCATCTGCAAAAAAATCAAAATTTCTATCAATATTCTAATTTACTTGAGTATAAGAAATGGATCTTTCGCGAGTGTAGCTAGGGCAATATTCGTCACACTGGTAATGACCATCTGAAAAGTGCTGTGTCAAGACTATTCTATAGGTCTATTGTTCTTAAAATTCTAAAAAGGCTCCCAAGTTTTCAATCTTCCCACTCTAAAATCTGACTTCAAAACAATACAAACACGCTCTCCATATTGCTGGGCATGGCAAAAATGCAGGATTTCCCAAATAGCCGTACCAATTTTTATCATCATGACCATACCTCGTGTTTTGTCTGGCCATGCCTAACTAAAATATAATCAAAACAGAGTTTTGCAATTGATCGCCCTTTTGAAACTTTTCATGAATTCACAAAGAAATTAGCATTTGGATCAGTTCAGTATCTCAAATTATGTTGATACTTGGGCATAAAAAGTTGTTTTAGCTGTAATTTTACTAATGCCTTTGTTGTAATGTGGTTAGAAGCCATCTTATGGAAACGATCTGCATGACATATTTTCATTCTGGCCATATTTTTTCCAAGTATGTTATTCTGGAAGAAGGGCGCGTTAAATGCAACCAGCCTTGGTACGTCACTGCAAACTTTAAGTGGGTTTTGGTGAATTATCATTAAAACGTGACATCCAACATCCCATTTTTGCAACCAATGTTAGTGCCCTTGTCCGCGTAGAGAATTACAAGGAAAGACGACATTTGGCGAGTGGCAAATCATCTTCTGCCTCTCTCTGAAGCGTACAGCGAAGCGTACAGACAACCCAGCGCAGTCTTTCTCAAGTACTACCTGTCCGAAGCGTACAGTGACAAGGCCCAGCGCAGTCTTTCTCAAGTACTACCTGTCCGAAGCGTACAGTGACAAGGCCCAGCGCAGTCTTTTACAAGTACTGCCTGTCCGAAGCGTACAGCGACAAGGCCCAGCGCAGTCTTTTACAAGTACTGCCTGTCCGAAGCGTACAGCGACAAGGCCCAGCGCAGTCTTTCTCAAGTACTACCTGTCCGAAGCGTACAGTGACAAGGCCCAGCGCAGTCTTTTACAAGTACTGCCTGTCCGAAGCGTACAGAAAAACGGCATAGTTTATGATTAGCACATAATGTAATATATGTTCTGTATGATTAGTGTGATTAGCTGAGTGGCGAGATATTAACCAATCACGCTGAAGATTCTACTTCGTGGATCTAGGATTCTGATTGGTTTAACTGTAATACGAGAAGGAGGTTGGCAATTCATGGAACCAGAGCCGCTTTTCTTCTTCCCTCTTCTCTCTCCTTCGCCTCCGCAGCACTCATTATTCTTTTGCTGCAGTTAAATTTTTGCGGCTCTGGTACCCAGGATACTCTATGTATGTCTCTAAATCTAACTTGCCAACTTACATACAGGTTATACGTTTATCTACATCCTGTTGTTGCCATAGCGGCATCTTATGGTAATGCGATATTATCTTCTGTTACACTCATTTTTTTATAAGAAACAGGTTATAGAAACGGTGGGCTCAATTTATCAAAAGTTCAGAAACAACCCTACCCAAATCAAAAAAGCTAAGAAACTTTTATAATTTGCAGTTTTAGTTTTCCGAGTTGACACTTAAAACACTCTTGACATTGAACATCACTGTATATTGCAACACTACACTTGACACGAAGTTTGCATTCATTCTCAGTAAATTCCACACTCAAGAAGTTTCCATTTAAAAATTTGTTTTAACTTCAACTTGACATTGATGAAGTTAATTGAGCTTAACGGTTTACAGATATCAACAGAGTTAGTCATTATAGGTAAACAAAATTCCTTGATCATTTTGTTAGTTTAACTCTGAATTCGAATGAACTATCTACTTCACTTTCGAAGCACGTTTAAAAATTCATTACTTAAGAAATTTAAGAAACATAGACTGTAAGAAACTTTTGATAGCAAAATAGCCAGAAATTTTAAGAAATTGCCTATCAGCATCGGACCTTACTTTCTTTTAAAAAAATTACGCGTAATAAGATAACGGGAAGTAAGCTAATACGTCAATGCAATAAATTTATAAGGTTACGTCCATGGCAGTATTCGAATCGTAACATGAATACAGGGTGTGTCTAATTATCCGGGAGTGTTACTTCCTCAATGCGTATGTTAACTTTTTTACATACCTAATGCTAAGGTGCTGTGATAACCAATTTGTGCAGTGATAAAATGGTTTTGTGCAGTGATAGACAGTAAAAGTGTGCAGTGATAAAACAGTAGTTTATAGTTAAAGCGAGCAAACTTGTCTGTGCTTTCCACAAATTTTGATAGTCTGAACATATCCAGGGCCACAAAGAAGGGGACGGGGGTGGTCAAATTCCCTAAGGCTTTAATGTATAAGGAACCTCATTCAGAAAAGAAATTGATTTAAAGAATTTGATTTATCAAACGTAACAGATAAATGGCTCAAAAATACTGACCATTTTAAAAGAAAGATAATGACTGCAAAATATTATTTTGAAATATATTTAAAGGCAAATTTGTCCAACTTTTTTCAAGAAGGGCCACTTTGAAATTTAGGTCATAACAGAAGGCCCAATTATAAATATATGTATATTTTTCTTCAAGATGAACAATTGCGCACCGTTCCATATCGTTCTGTTCACAAAAGTGGAACCCTCAGGGGTTGCGTTCATACGAGAACACTCTAAATCGTTTCGCTTAGTGATACGAAAAGTGGAAGAGTACGCAATCACTCCGTTCCTTTCCCGTGTGAAAAGGTGAAGTAGTTCGAAAAACGGAAGGCTTCATAAACTCTTTGTTTCATTTTTAACAGAAAAATTGGAATGGAGCGAGTATGTTCCCGCGTCAAGAGGAGAAAAAGTGGTACTTGATTGTTCCATTCCCGTCTGAACAGCTCATTTATTTGTTCCAATGGACTGCAACCGTTGACGTGTGAACGGGGCCTTAGTCTGCTTCTGCTTTCAGTTTCATATTTTTTATTTGTGTGTGCTCAGAAAAAAGAAAAGTAAATCATGGCATGCTGGCCTTTGTGGAACAATCCGAATTGTAAAAGTTTGATATGTTTAGGGATTATTTACTATGAAATTTACTTTTAAGAATTGTAATTTATGAAGATGTAACTGGCTGTCCAACCTATCTTAAGATGACTGCTGGTGTTTTGTATTCCTTCTGTATTAATGCCTAGCAATTTTGTACTCCTTCCGCACTGCGATTTATACCCAAAAAAATCGAAAACAAAACAGATTCATATTACTGCGCTATGAGAAAATCGATTGCCCACGATAATTCAAAATTGCGTTCGCAAAGTTCACCATATTTCCCTCTTCTCCGCTTTTCAGATCTATGGGTCGCAACCAACTTGGATTTTTAAAACAAGTCCGTCGTTTTAATGGTTTGGGCACAGAATAGAGGTCTGGTCCACTGCATTGAACTGGTTACCGTTAAATGTGTCTGTCCATTAGTGCGCACGCTTTTGCTTGATCTCGTGAATAATATGAAAAAATTTCTCTCATACAACTTTAATTTCTCTCTTAATTTCTTTAAAAACAACCCCAAGGGCCTTTGTAGCCTCTCTGTGGCCTTCAACATACCTGATACAATATTAGCTAGTTCTAAATAATCAAATAAGAACTTTATATGATAAGATCAAAACTACTTGCGAATTTGATATCTAGTTTTAGTTCCGCAATAATTAGACGAAGTCACCATCCAATTTTTTCAACATTATTTCCCACTGAGGAAAACAACGAAACTGGGTGGAAAAATGAAAATAATAAAAAGCTGTTATTTTCATTTAGTTGAAGATGTTAGAATTATGTTTACATTATGAATAACTTGTATCACCGAATGTAATCGACTGACTGTAATATGATTGACTGTAATATGTATTGATCGGTCGACCTCTTGTATCACTGATTGCTCTAGATTAGATAAATCATTAATGGATTGTCCAGCTACTAAATTGAAGGGCACGGTCAGCAAAGATTTCTTGAGGGTCCCCCACCCCTCGCGGGAAATCAATCATCCAGCCATCAATGCAGTTCTATATAAGGTAAATAAAATATGAATATCCTCCTTTTCGTTATTAGTCTCTTTGTCATGTAAGTACTGTCTACTGACAGATTTGAATTGAATTAACCATGTCTATTTGAGCACGTAGTGATCAATTAGAAAACGGGAAGAATCAAATTTGCGGTCTTAGGTCACGGTCCTTACATTGAATTAGCACTATGGGTATTATCCTTTCTTGATGGCTTTAACAAAGAGATCAGATTATAATTTTCTTTGTTCGTCTGGAGCACAGACAACAAAAATGCAGCATATCACGTCGTAAGTGATTCATGATTTGATTGAGTCTCATACTTTAAATTTTCAAGATCAACATAAAGCTCCCCAAAATAATGCCATCGCTGAATATCACGGTAGCATGGACAACTTGTGGTTTTTTGCAGGCTTAAAGGAGTTCTTAAATGTGGCGTCCAAATTGCAAAGGTTTGATTGAGAAAAGGCCTGTGCTCAAGTAGCCATAGCTCATCCATTTCACAACGTCATCAAGACTTTTTTTCAAATTATGGGGTCAAAATTCAGAAATTCTTGATATTCTATTCCTTAGATCTTCTATTTCTTAGATTTTCTTAATACGTACTGACGGAAAAGTTCTTCCTGCATATTGTCTATCAGTTTAACAGGAAACAAGGCTTGCAAAATTAACTTTACAACGATGACGAAAATATTTATTTTGAATTGGTACCATATGATCCAAAGGAACACAATCAAAGACCACTAAACGTGCAATATCAGCAAGATATGTTGTAGATTATCTGATCTAGAGATAAATATGGCCCAATGAAAATATGCTTTTGCCTCCTATTTCTATGGTTCAAATTATAATAGTTTGATCTTTCTTCTAACATTGTTTCATTGGAAAATTTTAAGGGATAAGAACAGAAAATGTGGCGAAATTATGACGGCATAAAAATATATTTCGTTAAATTTATAACTTTACCCTCATTTTCAACAAAGAACATGGTCTATCTAGGCTGGCTATAGCCTGCGTGCAGACTTTACAAATAGAAGAAATTGTACAAAAAAAGGAAATTGTACTTTTGAAGATTTTGAATATCATTATAACTTGAGCTGAACGAAGTCTTAAAATCGTGGATAAAAAATTGTTCGAGGGCCCCTTTCGATCGCAGGCCCTAAACTGCATTACGCCACTGGATGCATGCTGGCTACAATCTCTTTTAAATATTAATCAAAGGAGATATAATTTAAAGCAGATCAAGAAAAATGTCAAGAAAACCAACACTCACCTTTTTGTCTATCAGCAACTAGACTGCGTTTTGAATTTATCATCAATAGGTTTCTGCTTGATTTAAGAAACTTCTTGGTAAATATAGATGCTAAGACAAACAAATAGTTATCGCATGGGTGCTCAAGTGTACCCAGAATACCTTTACGCTTTGAATAATGATCAAAAAGAGGAAGTAAATGTACAGAAATTTAGTCGTGGAGTATAGCATGCAGGCAATTCTTCCTAAGAAATAAAAGGGTGTTGGGAAGTTGTGACGTCATCGAAATTTACTTAGCAATTCTCCAATTTGGATCATGCAAACTGCAAAAAAACATTATGAAATAGTTCGACTTATCATATGTTTCAATGAAACATTATCTAGAACAAGCAGTCTACAAATCTAATAAAACAATCAAAAATTTATTATGAATTATAACGAAATTGATTACTTGCAGAAAAAAATCAACTATCAGCGATTCCATTAAACACTGACTGAGGAATAAATTATATTGGCTAAAACATAACATATTAATCCTTTAGGCAGGCAAAAGATTTTAACTTTTGTGAAAAGGGAAGCAAAGATTCCGAATGAAAAAATTAATACAAATTGAGTAGAAATAAGCAAGTATTTGCTAAAAGAGGCATTTACCAGGGTTCTAGGGGGCGTGGCCTCAAAAAAATTTCGGGCACACCCAATTCAGCTCCTCCACTTTTAAACTGGTGCGCGGTCCCTGAGCTCGGCAACAACATAGAAACATTCTGTGATAGAGGTCCGTTTGTGTATTGAAAAGTTCATGACCCGGATGGCACTAGGCATTCTTCGAAAACTGGCAGAATCACTGCTGGTGTTGACTTTAAAAGATTTCAAAAAAAATGAATAAAACATTTCATTTCACTGTACACTTTCCTGTTCATCGCTGCACAAAGTTGTTTCACCACTGCACAAATTCGTCGTCATTGCACCTTAAAACTAGTTAATTTTTCAATTACTTATAGAGTTCAACAATCGTAGTGATATAGTCGTGGGCCCAGTGCTATTGGTCGTTTGACAAAGAATTGGGCCCCTTGAAAAGCAGCTCTTGCTGAAAGCAGCCCTTCTTAAAGCATTCAATTTGGTCTGTCAAAAGCTCGTTTATTTTTCTTGTCACATATTTCTTAACCCTAAAAACCTTTCGTATGCTGTCAATATTAGTTCTTTTATATTGCTTTGGTGAATTGATTACTTTGAAGTGCCAAATAGGTCGATTCTTAGCTAACGTCGACCTTTGTTTAAATCGATTAAAATCATATTCAGATATTAGGTGATACTGATGCCATTGACAAATAATTAGATTAAGATTTTTTTGCTAACAATGATTGTACCAATAAATCAATACCAGAGCTCATTAATTTTCATTTAATCAAAAATGCTTATCAGAAACATAACTGCGACTGTAACATTAATATAAAGTGTACTTAAATAAAAAAATTCTTATTAAACAAATAATACCCATAATTTCTGCGTTCTAGGGAATTTAGTTGATTATACTTTAGCAAATATTATCAACCTAATAAATTTCTAACTTTGCTAAAGATATATATACCCTTAAAACGTTGTGATTGTGACAACTAAATTGAATCGTTTCTTTTTGTATAATATTGGAAAAATCGGAAATGTACTTCAAATAGTCGTTCTGAGATTAAGACTGAGATTAAAAACCTGTGTTTTCAATGTTACCCTTGATGGCCTTTTCCTCTCCTATTTCATACCTTTACCAAATTGATTTTGGTATAGTTCTTACGATAACTTTTATACGCAGAAAGCCAACTGATGACTCAAATGACTTCATGTTGCATGAAGTTGGTAGTGGAGCAGGTTCTTATAGTCAAATCAAAACATAATACAAAAGAGCCTTATACCGATTCAAGCACAGAAGTTTTAAAATCTTTCCACGCCAACCTGTGGTAGAGGCTCATACACGAAAATGAGACTGCAGGAAAGCTGGAGTTTTGTGCTGGGACCTGGCTAGTGCAGGTTAGAGGTTAGAGCTGGACTCATAGACTCA